GTACTTTTATTTGCCTCAGCAGCTCTCATTCGTTTTCGGGCTTTGCAAAATGTTCAAACGGTACGTGCGTAGGCCCGACTAGTGTGCAAGCGGAGCGCTCGTGAAGCCTGAACCACTGAGACGACACGAGAAGCGTGGAATCAGGCGAGTCCAATCTGGGTTTGCATTGAAAAAAATGGAGAGGTGCATGGGGATCCTGAACAAAAAGTAATGTGAGAAAACACTACGCTTGGACAAGATGAGGTTAAAAATGCAGGAGGGGGATAAAATAGACCGCAGCTTAAAGGTTACTTTACATGAATTACAAAAATGTGCCTGACTTGTTTCTACTTACGCTACTGTGGCGACCGATCTTATGTTGGCTGTTAGTTCTTCCATTTTTTCGTGAAAATGGGCTCATAACTTTCCCAGAAACGTCTATAGATGTAAAAAGCAAATTTGGTGTTATTGTATTGTTTCAAACTTTCAACAACAATTTATAGTTTGTGATGATCACACTACGTGCTCGTGATTTTCCCTTGTGGATATTGCAAAGATTGAATACAGTTGTGAACAAGGTGTCGCAGAAAAATGTGCCTAATGTTTGATCGTTGAAAACTCTCTTGGCGTGAATGGAGAAGCTCCAGGTACCGTTTTGTAGAAGTGCTTTCAACTTACAAGGAAAGCGTCTTTAGTCGAAGTGGCCTTTCCACAGGTCACCTATATCACTTTGTAAAGCATTGAACGATGAAATCCGTCTTCCATATCTGCCAAGCTTTCTGGAGGCCGAGTTATGGGCATTTTTTGAGTCGAAAAACTGAGTGCACAGCGGAACAAAATCGTGCAAGACTGCTCAAATGGTCAGGTGTTCATTATCGGAGCACTACACTTAATGAATACCTTCTGTCTAATACCCTTATACTCAACAGTCCTTTATATGAGCGTAGGAAATGTTGTAATTACTGTTTTCATAATTTTGCATTCATTTTTTGCTCCAAAAGCACTCATAACTCGGCGCCCAGGGCGCTTGGCAGATAGCGAAAATAGATTTGGAATCAGCGTTTAATGCCCTTCAAAGTGGTTTAGGATTCATTTGGAAAGGCCACTTCGACTAATGACGCTTCCCTTGTTAGATTTACAGTGTAAACAGAATCACCCATCTCTCTTCATTACTGTAGGATTACTGTAGGAACCTTAAAAAAGGTTTGAACCATGAAGGGTCAAAACTCTCCATGGCTCAAAACTATTTTAGCCCAGAAAGGAAACAAAAGACCTGAAAACTCTCCAACTAGGCTAAATCGAGTGATTCTAAATAAGAAGCTTGCATCTCATTATAACGCTTTCTTAAAAAGTTACGCTAAGCAAGCAGTAACAGCCGTGTTTTCGATAATGCTAAAAAATGTGGTTTACACCGTTAAAAAACTTCACAAACCTGCACAAAGTTGTGCGTTTGATTGGGCATCCATGAAAGAACTATTATATAAGACTAGCTGGCTTACCCGGCTCCGCCGTATCCGGACCAAACTTGGCACACATACACTTCGGGCTCCGGCGGGTGTCACAGTCCACTTTTCGTTATCGATCGATGTCGATTTTACCGATTTTTATCGATTTTTTTCGCAGAGTTCACCTACAGGGCTAGGAGTTGGCACAGGAGGGAAGTGAGCATGGGGATTCCGAATACAATATTAGTTTTCAGAATTATCGGTTACTTTTGTTGATTTTCTCGATTTTTTGTAAATTTTGACATGCGAGGCTGGGATTTTGCACAGGGGGGTAATCGAGCATGCAGATTACGAATACAATATTAGTTTTCAAGATCATCCATTACTTTTATCGATTTTATCGATTTTTTTTGTAAAGTTTGACCTGCGGGGCTGGGAGTTTGCACAGGGGTGTAATCGAGCATGCTGATCACCCCCCTTGGGGATGATCAGCATGCTCGATTACCCCCCTGTGCCAACTCCCAGCCCCCTAGCTCAAACTTTGCAAAAAATCGATAAAATCGATAAAAGTAATCGATAATCCCGAAAACCAATATTGTATTCGGAATTCCCATGCTCGATTACCCCCCTGTGCCAACTCCCAGCCCCGTAGCTCAAACTTTGCAAAAAAATCGATAAAATCGATAAAAGTAATCGATAATCCTGAAAACCAATATTGTATTCGGAATCCCCATGCTCGATTACCCCCCTGTGCCAACTCCCAGCCCCGTAGGTGAACTCAGCAAAAAAATCGATAAAAATCGATAAAATCGATATCGATCGATGACGAAAAGTAGCCTATGACACCCGCCGGGGCCCGTAGTGTATGTGTGCCAAGTTTGGTCCGGATCGGTTCAGAAATGGAATTTTCTATTCGGAACATACGTACACACATACATACATACAGACAGACATACATACATACATACAAACAGACATTCAGCTTTATATATAAGATTTTAGATTATTTTTGAAATTTCAAAATGACAGCTTTTTCAAGTGACGCCATATGTCGGAAGTTCCTACCGTAATCTTGCAGTAATGAAAGGTGATCGAAATCGGCTCCATACTCTAAATCTAAGTTGGACTTCGCTCTACAGAATGGTACATAAAGCTTCTCGAAAGACCATGACAAGAGAGTTGTAACACTCAAACACTAGGCACATTTTTTGGGACACCCTGTACATCTAGAAACTAGAATTCTGCGTGAAGTTAGACACACGTCCTTCAAAAACGCCCTTTTTCCCTTATACACCTTTTCGAAACTCCTTCTATTTTGTTCACATCCAGAATCTCATAATGTGACATTTAAGATAGTAACCAGCCTTTTCAAGGAGATTTGGTTCTTTTAAATTTATAGGCATTGTCGACTACAAACGCATATCTGACGGATAATTTCTTTAAGACATAATATTTCCCAAAAGCCATAACTTCTTCAAAAAATGGTCTGGGAACCAAATTACTATTGCTGCAATAACAGGGCTTGAGCTCCATTCCTATATATATTATGACAGAAGTGGAGCTTTTCGTGGTCAGCGTCAAAAGGGTCTAAAAGATTGGGCAACCTAACAACCTAACTCTCCAAGAATTACCCTAACCTTGCCAAATTTATTAGTAGAGCCTTTTTTGGATGTCATTTCGTTCACCATCACTACAAATCTTGTTCCTCGTACAGTAGGCGCTTAAGGGTATTTCGGCTTTGCCTTGCCTCTGCTTTGTAGTAGTCTGTAGGGAGTGAAAGCACTTGCTGTAAAAAGAATCAATGGCAGAAAATTTGACATCCTTTCGAAGAGACTATTTGCTGACAATATACCAAAATCCTAGGTAAGTCGAAAAGATAATACTTTATTGTGAAAAACAATTAATTTTACCACGTTGTGAACAGTGGCGGAACGAGGGGGGGGGGGGGGCGGGGAGGGAGCGCCCCCCCCCACCTAGGATGGGTCGCGAAATTTTTGAAACTTACCTACATGGGTTATAAGAATGTGCAAATGACTTATTTTTTAAACATTAAAATAATTTTTGAAATTTTTCAAAAATTCAAATTAGCCTTGTAAAAATTTTTTTAGGGGGCATCTGCCGTCAGCTTACTTTATGTGCACGGAAAAAGTTCAAATTTTTTTGGTTGAATCTTTGCCTTATGTGGTTAATTGGCATGTGCCGTTCAATGAACCATATTTCGTCGTCACGTGTTGCAAGTGACGCTAGCAGTCCTGTGCTTATTTCTTTACTTTTGGAAATCGTGGCGTTTTGAAATCTTTGAAGCAAACCGCTCTTTTAAGGCCGCTACTGCCCCTTCGCGACCCCCAATACAACTCCCAGTCGAGCTGACTGATCTAAAGCTCCACCCTGCTAATAACACGAAGGCTGGCGAAGCTTTGCAAAGACCATACCTTTCAATCTTCCCTGTACACCTTCCTTGAATTGCCGAAGACGTCCCACAATGTGAAATGGGCGTGATTTCCGCAATCATCATTTTAGTTTACGTATACTGACTAGGAAAGCTCCAATTATGTTATGAACAGTAAGCTCAAACCCTGTTATTGCCGTAGTAATCTTGTCTCAAAATCTTTTTATGAAAATATGGCTCTTAAGAAACATCATGCCTCTAAGCAACTATCCGTCAATTGTATGTGGTGCTGTAGTAGTAGTCTGTAATCGAGTTTCTTGATAAAGGCTGATTTCCATCCTGAATGTCACATTATGAGGTTCTGGAGGTGAATAGGATTGAGTCGTTCTGATAGAGTGTGGACGGAAGAGCGTTGAACGACGTGTGCCTGACTTCCTTGATCCTAATTTTACTTTGGCTCAAAAAGTAATGTCATGACTATTTATAAAGCGCTAATCTCCGTCTGTTTGTCTGTGTCTGTATGTCTGTGGATTTGCTCAACATCTAAATGCCCAGACTATGAACGTAAGCAACGAGGGGGGCAAATTATTTATTTCAACGCAAAATCAGCGCCAGAAGGGAATAATTGCAAAGATCGACAATCAACGTTTCACCCAATTATTCCTGATGATTTCTGCTCAATGTAGCCGGAGGAAGCGATGTCCTTCATGGAAACTACGATAGTAACTACATTTATCAAACCGTAATTCTCTTTTGAGTTTCTACACAAAGATTTTCTCTTCCCAAAGATACCGGTTCTACATGGAAAAGCTCATGGAATGAGTAGTTGTTTGAAACTCGTTCGTGATGGTTAGCATTGCACAGCCAGTTCCGAGTCCATCAACATCATGCGAGCGAGAGGAAGGCATATAGTTGAAGGAGCCAGCGCCCGCCTCTGAGAAGCAGAGGTGAAGCACTGGTAAAACTAAATTTTATTAGCCCTCAATTTTATGGACTCTCAGTACAATATCAAAGCAGCAATGTTTTTGATTTGAGATTAGGCTGACTTTTGTTTTTATTTATTATATTTTATCAGTTATTCTATGAGTACAATGAATAAGTAACAAGTAAATATCGGAGGAAGCATTGCAGATTCTGAATCACTTTCACCATGTATCCCGTGTTGGTTTATGAAGCACGTACACTAATCATGAAATCAATGCATCAACAATTTTCTCTACATCTTCATCTTTGTAGTCATTGAGATCGACGTTGATAATCTTTCCTCGGTCATCTACATGGCCCGTGAAGTTGGCACCTGCAAATCGTACGTTTATTAAAAGCAATGGTTGCTATTCTTAATTACCCTGTGCTGATATCAAAACGTAGAAAAAATGCCGAAACTACTAAGTTGGTGCAAAGTTGTTGTTCGTTTTTTGAACCCTTTCATTTTTGAGCCAAACACTTTTTAAAACAAGCTCATACTATTTTTATTTCTTCTCATATATCATACTTTCCATCATGGAATGCTTTTAATCTCGTTGTTGAAATCAAATTGTTGTACATTCTAGCTGATAGCTATTGATTGTGGCAGGTAGTTTGCTTAATCTTCGCAAATAATCTGCATCTGCGCTCAACATTTGTGTCAAATTGGAGGATGTCAAATCCGCCTCCGAGTTCACGGCCTACCCAGCAGTCGTAGATTTTATGGATGGATCAACGGCATTTAAAACAAACCCTGATGTGCAAGACATACTCAGAACGTATTTGTACTGGTCAACTTGGCGCATTCTGCGCAAAAAAAGATTTTAAGTCACTTTCTTAATAAAGCACGTCTATGCGCATGCTGACCCAAACTGCACTGCTGAAAACCCATTGAACTGAACCTGTTTTGTAATTAACATTTTCCTTGTAAAACAATTTGCATATTTCAGAAATTTTGTTTTAGGCGTTACGGTAATTTGAAAGAATCCTTCTGTTCATTAAAAGTCGCTTATTAATCAACATAATCTTACGAAGTAAATGAGCGTTTACCTCTTCAAAAACTAGTTTCGAGCTTACCTGGTAGTCTGAGGGTGTATTCAATAAACATTACGAAGAATGAAATGTCAAACACTTTAGAATGGAAAAACATCAAAAATAGGAAAAAACTGCATTATATAAACCTGAGATGCTCGCCGACTCATGTTCTATGAGGTTTTTGGTTAATCAATTGTGAATTTGATATCATTCAAAAAATCTTTCGAAAAATCTCGGAAAGCCAACTATAAATGCCAAAATTTGTATTGCTGGGCATTCGATTGGGTCTCGTTTCTTTTTTTCTTTTTTTCTTTCTTTTTCTCACATCAGGGCTCGTTATAATGCCGTTGATCCATCCATAAAATCTACGACTGCTGGGTAGGCCGTGAACTTGGAGGCGGATTTGACATCCTCTAATTTGACTCAAATGTTGAGCGCAGATGCAGATTATTTGCGAAGATTAAGCAAACTACCTGCCACAATCGATAGCTATCAGCTAGAATGTACAACAATTTAATTTGAGAAAAGCTTCAAGTTCTACCATTTTTCCTTATAGCTGAAACTATCTAATGTCTAAGTTTGTGCTTTTTTTCGCTACACAGATAACTTTGAAGCGTAAATAGAGCACAATATCTTATCCAGTTTTGGTTCTATGTTTCAGCTTGGAATCTGAAATTGATCATTCAACTATTTAACGGGAAATAAATTGACTTGAGTATCAGACAACTTATAGTCAAACCAAATTTGAAACCGCTTTTCATTAGAAAGAAACTTAGTAGTCCATCTGTTCAAAATCTGATCTTGAAAAATTGATTTTTCAAAGTGGCTTATGAGCCTGTTTCTCCCCTAAGTCGTGCGCAAAGTCAAGGCCAAATTTCTTAAATAAACATACGTTCACATAGGCCCGTAGTAAAGCTCGGTAACGGGAGATGATTCCCCCTGAAGCCCTCATATGAGGTTTTATCGGGTGAGATGAGGACTGCCCATTTTTCCGTGGTGTAAGTATGCAAGGACTTGACAGGTGAGCTTCAGACGAAGCGCGGCAGGGAGATCAGCTCACTGCCGAGCCATCGGAAATGAGCCGGGCGACGACATTAGGTAAATAATCTGCTAAAGAGGAGAGCACAGAGAAATCCTCCGTAAGTTGCTCCCGAGTAACTTACGAAACACCGCAGCTCACGTTCTTCTGCGGTGTAAAACTCCCGAAACTGCACAATTTCGGCCGCCTAAGTGAGTGAGGATCGATGAACAGCTGATTGCGCGACAAAATCGAAAAAAAAGATTTCTTTGCATTTTTCTTGCAGTTGTTGCTTGTTTTTGTCAAAGAACCGCTTCAGACAACGAGAAGGTAAATTTATCTTTTTATTCATTTTTCGCTAAGTCTAGTTTTTCTTTGTATAAGTGGCAAATTATTGTGTATTTGTTTTACATCGTTGTTTGCTAGGTGAAATCTTTGATAGCGGCTATCATCGATTTTTCGGTAACGGCCGCTATCAATGGTCGCCAGGCGAAGTAGCAAACATGTTGTCGCTAGCCGCACTCGAACCACGGCTCTGCCGGTGGAAACGCATCAGTCTTATTCATTTGACTACTACTGCACAAATGGCAGAAACGTTCCGCCTTTGAAAACGCGAAAGTCCAACAAGTGATCTGCTCCGAATCAATCGATCCCCTGGCAATGTGCTGAGGCGCGATGAGATCAGCTCCTGTCCGCCTCAAGAGAGATGCTGTGATGGAGGTTTACTACGGGCCATAGATACACATGGTGCAAACAGACATGAATCTTCATCCATCAGTTAATTGTAATCTCCTTGTCGTTTCTGCAAATTTACGAATGTAATAAGTTCTTCCTGTTTTTCGACGTGTGGAAACGCGTGCAATAAAACCAGAAAAACATTTCGACTTCATATGAGCACTTCCTTTTCCTTTCAGTGGTTTTCAGTTAGTTGTTATCGCCGAAGTTTCGGACCCATGGCTTTCAAATTGTCCAGACCTAGGTATTTTTCAAGTTTTCCTAAGCAGTGGTATCAACGCAGAGTACTGGAAGACAGTCAGAAGAGAGGAGAAGAAGCTGCGTCGAATGACACCCTAGCTGTTTGCCGTCTGATTTTCTACGAGGTTTTTGATAAACAAATATCAAATTTAATAGCATCGAAATGATTGATTTAGACTTGAAGCCAGCTATCAATGCCGAAAAATTGAATTGCATTGCATTTTGTTTACTCTATTTAACTTGTTGAAGCATTTTCAAAAGTCCAAATCGAAAATTGAGAAAAATAGCCAAATTTAAAGTAGGTAAAAACCATGAGTTGAAAATTCCGGGATTTTCCAAGCGAGCCTCAAAGAAATCCGAACAAAACATTACAGGTAAGAGGAAGAAATTCTGCATAGAACAATTCTTAGAATTTTGTCTGTCTTTCTTTAAATGATTGATTTGAATGGATGTGAATGTTTTGAGATAGGTCTAAAAGACGGTGCGAACTTCCGGACTCAACTAATAGATTTTTGTAAGAGCTTTGATAACAGGGAAAAACAAGAAGAACTTATTACATTCGAAAATTTGCAGAAACTACAAGGAGATTACAATTAACTGATGGATGAAGATTCATGTCTGTTTGCACCATGTGTATCTATGGCCCGTAGTAAACCTCCATCACAGCATCTCTCTTGAGGCGGACAGGAGCTGATCTCATCGCGCCTCAGCACATTGCCAGGGGATCGATTGATTCGGAGCAGATCACTTGTTGGACTTTCGCGTTTTCAAAGGCGGAACGTTTCTGCCATTTGTGCAGTAGTAGTCAAATGAATAAGACTGATGCGTTTCCACCGGCAGAGCCGTGGTTCGAGTGCGGCTAGCGACAACATGTTTGCTACTTGGCCTGGCGACCATTGATAGCGGCCGTTACCGAAAAATCGATGATAGCCGCTATCAAAGATTTCACCTAGCAAACAACGATGTAAAACAAATACACAATAATTTGCCACTTATACAAAGAAAAACTAGACTTAGCGAAAAATGAATAAAAAGATAAATTTACCTTCTTGTTGTCTGAAGCGGTTCTTTGACAAAAACAAGCAACAACTGCAAGAAAAATGCAAAGAAATCTTTTTTTTCGATTTTGTCGCGCAATCAGCTGTTCATCGATCCTCACTCACTTAGGCGGCCGAAATTGTGCAGTTTTGGGAATTTTACACCGCAGAAGAACGTGAGCTGCGGTGTTTCGTAAGTTACTCGGGAGCAACTTACGGAGGATTTCTCTGTGCTCTCCTCTTTAGCACATTATTTACCTAATGTCGTCGCCCGGCTCATTTCCGATGGCTCGGCAGTGAGCTGATCTCCCTGCCGCGCTTCGTCTGAAGCTCACCTGTCAAGTCCTTGCATACTTACACCACTGAAAAATGGGCAGTCCTCATCTCACCCGATAAAACCTCATATGAGGGCTTCAGGGGGAATCATCTCCCGTGACCGAGCTTTACTACGGGCCTATGTGAACGTATGTTTATTTAAGAAATTTGGCCTTGACTTTGCGCACGACTTAGGGGAGAAACAGGCTCATAAGCCACTTTGAAAAATCAATTTTTCAAGATCAGATTATGAACAGATGGACTACTAAGTTTCTTTCTAATGAAAAGCGGTTTCAAATTTGGTTTGACTATAAGTTGTCTGATACTCAAGTCAATTTATTTCCCGTTAAATAGTTGAATGATCAATTTCAGATTCCAAGCTGAAACATAGAACCAAAACTGGATAAGATATTGTGCTCTATTTACGCTTCAAAATTATCTGTGTAGCGAAAAAAAGCACAAACTTAGACATTAGATAGTTTCAGCTATAAGGAAAAACGGCAAACTTGAAGCTTTTCTTAGTATTAAACATATTTGAGAGACAAATTCTTAACAAACGCTTTATTCGACATCAACTGAGTTCCAAGAGAAAAGTGCTGGCGGCGAAACCAAATGTACAGTTGAATAGATTTTCCTTCAATATAGTGTGCTTGCACTGTAGGCGAAATGCGGGAAAATTTGCGGAAGAAATAGCTACGCCTGTGACGCCTTTCAACTGCGCGCGCGGAATGTTGGCGTTACTGGCGTGGCTACTTGTTTACGCGCAAATTTCATAACATTTTACCTATAGTGCAAGCAAATTATATCAAATGAAAAATCTACTCGAAGTAGCATCAATCGGATTTTTCAAAGATGCGGTAGCAGCTTCACAGATAAAAAGATTTTTTTTGCTAATGTTCTTGCCCTTTACAAAGACTTGTTACTCTCGTAGTTTATCGTCTGGACCTGTTACAGGAGGAAACTTGTTATGAAATACTTGAAATAAATAAGAAAATGGACAATCTATTGTGCCCTATTTGCTGTTTTAAAACTCATCACTCTAGCAAAAAAAAACGTAAAGTTAGACACTGTTTAGTTCCAGCTATAAGGAAAAATGGTAGAACTTGAAGCTTTTCTCAGTGTAAACATTCTTGAGGGACAATTGCTCAACAATTGCTCAATAGCTTTCGATCAACTGAGTTTCAAACAAAATTGCTGGCGTCGAGACCAAAATAGCATCAATCGGATTTTTCAAAAATATGGTAGCAGCTTCAGTGATAAAAAATATACTTTTGCTAATGCTTTTGCCCTTACGAAGTATGACTTGTTAAATTTTCTAAATTAATATATGGACCTGTTACAGGAGGGAAAATTTTGTTACAAATGATCCAAGAGCCACGAATACAGTAATATTACTAATACAATCTTTTTCTACAACACAACAATAATAATAATATTGCTGGCAAAAATCACCATCAAGAAGGTGATTAGGGTAAGTCAAGGCAAGTTTGCTGATGCAAGGGCATCTTGAATGAGGTTAATGAAAGAGAAATACGAAAAATAGAGGCTTTATTCTGGATACTACTTCTAAGTCACCTTCAAATTCACAGTCTACTCCTATATGTGTATTATTTTTGTTTGCACTAGCGATAAGATAGAATGGGATTGTTACAGCTTACTGTGAAAACTAGTGTAGATACGAGAAAGACTGCGATGTTTTAGCTTTGCTTTTCAGAATGACTTATTTATTCAAAGTTGGATCTTGTCATGTACTTAACATCCGAGCAAAGTAGTCGAATGCCATATGGGTTTCTTTATGGTAAACATGTACAGAAACCTTTTTTAAGTGCATCTTTTTACACATTGCAAAACAGACCGAGATGCTTTTAGAATGGGTCTCCTAATGTTTATCAGGCTTCGACTCTCAAAGATCCGAATACTTTTTTTTTGTTGCAGTCATGTGTCTCATTTTGCCAAACCCTAATCTTGAATAAAATGTTCGTAAAGTTATAGCAGGCTGAGAAATTTGAACAGCAACTATAGTCCATGTGCTCTTTTCGATAACCTATTCAGTCCGGAAAGTCATGAAAGTTTTGTGAATGAAATTGGGCAAGTGAATGAGTGAATTAATCATACCGATCATATGAAAGCCTTCAAAGGACACTGTGCAAACATGATGGTAAGAAGGGCCAAAAAGAAGAGAAAAGTATGCTTGGAGACCAGTCTGTCGTACAACTTATATAATCGTTCACAAAAGCGATCATAGTATGTCGATCTGATACCTGACAAATTTTGATAATCATGCTTTATGCCCCTCGTGTTTCTGCTTTAACGAAGCTAAAACATGTATTACAATAATATATACATTCGCTTTTAGTGGATGGAGCTGTCGCAGTGCTATCGGTGTATGCGTCGCAGGCGCAAATTTCAAGAATTTTTGAGCAATTTTAGTTCAAAATTGTAGTCAAACTGAAGTGCTATCTACATACCTTGCAGACTAACAACCACAATATTCGTGTAGTTGTAACTTGGACCGATAACCCAGTTCTTTTCTACGAAATCTCTGAAATTTGATTGATTGAGCTTGCTCGTTCTGATTTCCTCGCTAAAAAGCTAAGTAAACTTCATTGTAGCAATCATGTGGTACTGCTACTCTGAGTATTGCAAGTTGAAAGTAACTTATTCGAACATCGGTGTATCACTCACGCGCCCCACATGAAAAGCAAGCTATCCACTTTTCCTTGTGGACCAGTTGCAGTGTTTATTGTAGAGAAGCTGTAAAAGATCATGGAGTACACTTGAAAGCATTAGCCATATAAGTCTGATGCTCAACTTACTTTGCACCCAAATCGTTTACAGAAGACCCTCTCTGCATGGCTGTATTAGCTTCACTTTCGAATTTCTCATAGGTATCGCTCATGTTATTGAAGACATTTGTAAAATCGGTTTTTTGAGCTACTGAGCCGTAAACCCAAATTCCAGCAGCCGAACCTTGCCTTTCTTTGAAAAGGGTGTCCGTAACGATCAGGATTAGACTTTTTTCCTTCAAAAGGGGAAACAGGTTAATTAAGATTTGGTTTGTATACAGCAAGAGAGATTAGCTTCGCAATTGTTATATGTTGCAAATGACTGTTTTCCTTAATGTCTGTTCAAAATGATAAAACTTTACCTTGTCTATCTCTTTTGCTTTGCTGATGTATTGCAGATCCGCTACGCAGACGCAATTGATGCTTCTGGGTGCTGAAACCTTGTAGCTATTAACAAAATCTTCGTACTTCGTCTCATCAACGATGATTGGGGTTGTCAAAGTCTCCAAAGTATGCGCAAGTTGTCGTATACATCCATTTGTCTATTTGTAATAATGAGCCGTAAGTCCGATACAGTTGACTTTTTTCAATAAGTATCTTTCCATGAAAATTGAACTGCAGTTATTTATAAGTTTATTCACTCATGTAGAGATGTAAGCGAAAGCGGTAGTGATCGCAAGAATTGTTTACTCAAGCATTGTACTTAAGGTAAGACTTTTCCCTGGCAATCCTGTCTTGCTAATGTATTGGAATTCTACAGACGCAACCTATGCCTTTCGATGCTGAAATTTTTGACTAACAATAAGATAAATAGGTGAAGTACCAGTAAGGGCATCAAAACAAACTAGATTCGAGAGTGTAACGCCTTTCGACATATAGCTTTTGTTGTTGTAATAAAAAGTTGTGCTTCAGATAAAGACGAGTACTTGCAAAAGTTTGAGAAACCATGTTTGTATATTTTAGTAATGTATCTGTGGCGTACGGAGGGTGAGGGGAAGAAGCCGCCTAGAAGAGTTTGAAATTTTAGAGGAACGACATGAGTTGTAAATATCTGCAAATGACTTGTTTATTCTTGTAAATGGTCAAAGTGATTTCTGAAATTTTTAGAAATTCCAATTAGTCTTTTTAAGATTTTCTCGGGAGGAGGGGGGGGGGGGGGGAGGGGCAGCCAAATGCGTGGCTAACTCCACGCACCTTGGCTTGAAAATTTTTTTTGTTGCGCCTCCTCTGAAGGAAAATCCCAAGGCCGCCACTGAATATACTAGGTCGTCCCAAAAGTATTCTCGCTTTTAAAAGAAGCTCCACATTTCTTAAAACGAATTTTTATAGAAGATTTGGCAGCATTCGATGCAATTTTTCTCGATCACCTTTATATTGCAGTTCAATAAACGAGCTTTCAGAAAAATACCGAAAATCAAGAGCCATGGTTTTTACCAAGGTCAAGTTTAGTTTTTTTAAAATTTTGAGCTCTCCCCGAAGAAGAACTATAGATAGAGCAAACTCTGTAGAACAAAACAATTTTGTTCTCATCCCTATAACTCGCCAGAATTTTTTTTGTCAGAACACAACACCATCAAATTCTAGCGGGCCATAAGATGCAGACCAAAACCTCTAGATTTTTGATACTTGCAAAAGCAATTATGATTCAGCACTAATTCTGCGAAACAGAAGAGCGTTCAGTGATTCACAATATCAGCTTTTGATATTTTCCAAGTACAATTAATAGCGTATTCAAAAAATGAAATTTGTTGATTCATCCTACATCACTGTACGAATCATAAATAAAGAACATTCCTTTAAAAAGGGAAACTTTGTCAAATAGCACACAAGCATTGCTAGCCGGTTGTTCTATGAAGTTTGAGTTGATCAAATATGAAATTTGATACTTAAAATACTTTTTTTTGAGATATTGGATACAAAAGTTTAGTAAAATAGCGAGACTTGAGCATGAGGAAAAACCATGGGTCGCACATTTTCTGATAACTCTCTGGAGGCTCCTCCGCGAAGTGCAACATAAAGATGATCATTTGAAAGAGCGTGAGAAAGTGCATTGAATGCTACCAAAATCTTTAGTAAACCTTATTCCACGGAATGTGGCGCGTGTCCAACCTAAAATATTTTTGAGACCACTACCAATAAGTTTTTACTTAGCTCTAAGTAGCGGACGTACGGCTGACTTCATCTTAACTCACACGATAATCGCTGGTCTTGATTAAAATAGTAATTACTAGCTTAGCTAGCCTTGATATTTATGGAAGCATAAATACCTGCACTGGTAGGCGTTCTAACATAAGTGCTTGTAGCGTCAAATGTGGCGGTTGATTGAAATATTGGCTCAGTCCTGATACTTGATTCTGCCTTCGTGGTTTCCATCAAAACTCAATAAACATAATTAGATTCGAGTTGCGGTGTATGATGATATATTTTCACAAGGTTATCAGAAAAATGTCCAAAACGAAATGGGGAATTAGTGCGTAGGATCATTTTGTACACGTAAAAGGTAAAATCACTTTATGTACATGAACCTCGTGACAATATTGTTTAGATAGAAACTTGAGTTGGCTTTTTTAACCAAAATCTTGGTAAAACTTACCAAATCCTACTATTCTGTCAACTACGTTTTCTCCCTTTCCTACAACGTGGCTGATATTTACTCCGTACCAATCTTTGATAGACTCGCCATCTTCTTCAGTAAAGATGATCAACACATGTTCCTCAATATGAGCTAAGCGAATCATTGCCCTTACAATTTCCATGTCGCTGTCGCTTGCGCTGAAAGGTTCTATATGAGCTGAATGCTGAAAGTTGGTGCAGGGATATAAAAATAATTGAAAAAAATTGAACTTGAATTTAAGAAAATTTAACCTGCCTGTAGTTGAAGCTACAAGGTACGAAGTACACAAGAAGATCATCGTCACCTGCCGTGTTCACAAATTCTTGCAAAACACTAAAAAATAGGGGAGCAAAGACATAGGAATAGTTTTGAAAGCACAGTATAATTAAATTTCGTCTTATCGCGCAACACATATTACATATCAAACCCATTTGAATTATCAGCCTCTTAAACAAGAGGCTGATATTTCAAGAGTATTTACTCGACATGTTGTAGTAAACTTGTTTTTATCACTTAAATTATTAGGTTGTTAACTAAGTGCGAGCTGTAAACTGTGTTTCTCTACCTCCTCGCGCTCATAATTCAGTATTGTCTATACGGCAATGCGAGCTAAAATAAGCACAAAATTATTTTTCGATCCGGAATAAAAAAATTTGGGCACTTTTCCAAAACTACTGAAATTTGGAATTTCATTTGTGAAGATGAAGCAATTCAGAGTCTAAAACATTGCCGAGCATTGCCGATTAACTCTGCAAAAAAAGTAATAGTAGTTCGAGATTGTTTGAAATTTGGAGGCATCGGGAAGTTGAACTATGCAGCTGAAGGTGACATTGATGCTAACATCCGCTAATAAGTAGTGAGCGAAATCCCGATAACGAGACTTTGCCCTATAGGGTGATTCGGGAGACGGTCAAGAGGAGCACTCCACTTTAGTGTTGCGAGTCTTCAAATAATACCAAATAAAGTGCATTAGCACTATCTGTCTGAGGTTACCATTTGCTGAGTTTGGCGCCTTTTGCTGAAAATGGACCGAAAGATTCATGGATATGCTTTACACCGCATTTTAAGGGTTTTGCCTTCAAAATTGCCGTTTTGAGTTGACTCCAAGGTAATAAAATCAAACAACCCATGTAACTATCTAATATATTTCTTTCCGCTTAGACTTTTAGAAACTTATAGAACAACTATTTTGTGCCATTTAATGTCCACCTGGCAATGGAAATCGCGCCTCTTGACATACACTCGAGTAATTCTATATGCTGGACACGACATCGTATTCATTTGCCGTCAAATTGAAATTTTTTGTGACCTTACTAAAAAAGGCATTATCATGCAAGGTATTGCGCAAAATGAGTATAGTTTCTATGATCGCTTGCCGAGAAACTCTCTAGACCAAGTTTCAGCTGGAACTGTGACAACCTGGAGCATGAGTGAGTTTTTTTTTACCGTGCATCTACATTAACCCTTACACAATTGGCCAAAATTTGATACATATTGCTGTATCTAGATCACGTCGCGGCCTGAACATTGCCGAAGCCTGAGTGTAACGATATGCGATAAGAAAAAAGTTGGGAAGTTGTGAAATTTAGTTAACAACCTAATATTTGATGCTTATGTTCAGAAATTCTGAGGTAACAACAATAAAGAGAATAACCAAACACAGTCATAGGAGAGAATGGAGGAGAGGAAGACCCACAGGTACTGTTTGAAATTTGTTTGCGGATTTGACTGACTCATTGCAATTTCCAGCTTGTCAATAGCCTTCAACCAATCCATCGCTTCAGAAGCTTTGACTTCATCAGCAAAGAAGATAAATCGAAAGCGCTGGTCCTTCATTTCCAAAATGGCGTGTTGAGTACTTACGATATTCTGGAAGCAAATTAAGCCCTTTTAGGCCTAAGGCATACTTCCCATGATTCCGCCAGATCGCTACATCAACACGACTAGGCAATTTGCCAGATGTCTAAAGATTCACCGTGCGCGGGTCTCGCATAGGCATGTAGTTTCTGTGAGTTGTTGCAGAAGCGCAAATTTCGGCAGGAATAAAACGCGCCTATGACCAATTAGAAGAGTCGTTGCAGTGCCATATAGCGTGAGGTATGCCTTAGGCTTTAGAGATGAATCTTTCAACTGTTAATGGGTTCGGCTAGCAGCAGAACACATACGGGGAAGAATAGTGGACCTATCTATTAACCTGCTGCATAAGTTCTACCTTATTTTGGTTGCCTTGCGTTTGAAGCACTATTAGTATCTCAAAGAAGCGTTATAATTGCTTTTAATGCATATCGATCTCAAAGAAAATCCTTATTCTGATAATATGGCCGAGATGCCGTCTCATTTCACCAAGAAAATGTCCTCATTGCGCCCTTCAAGTCAACGTATTGGTAGCGGATCAAGGGTGTAGCATGTTGGTAATTCGATTCAACTGGCTTGGCTTTGGAAAGACGGGGCTTTGCGTCCTAATTAAGGCCGCTCGCGCCCACAACGCATTTGAGTCTCTCTCGCGCGAGTGCTCTCTGATCACTACCTAGCCTTATTTAGGTCATGAAGCGCCGCCTTCCCGAAGCCAAGCCAGTTCAGTCAAATGGTATATGGATAAACTCATACTCATGCAAAAAAAAGTTCTGCTCACAAAACTTATTGTCGAAGACCATCATTCATAACAATATTCTACAAGCACTATTGGTGAACGGAGAGAAAAGTTCAAAGATGGAGGTGTTAGAGTAAAGTAAGAGTTAGTAGGCCCATACACCAGTTGCTCTTCACTGCTACAAGTGTAATTCTCATGATTTACAAAAGCGCTATATCCATGTACCGAA